CAGAGGCGGTCGAACAGCCAGCAGGGTACGGCCGCGGAGCTTGCATGGTGGAGATCTGAGGTGTGAACATCGAGGTGCAGCAGGCAGGAACCAAAATCACACGGTGTGGAACTCACGTCTTCGAGACCGTACCACGAGAGCAAGAAGCGGCATGGACTGTCCCTGTTTTCCTGTCACGCCTGAAGGCGGGCGAGTACATGACCAAGAGGAGGGGATAAGACAGTGATGAATTATCCTCTTTGCTGCATAAGTTCCCTGCATGGCGTTCAAGCATTACAAATCACTGTTTGCCTGGAATCGCAGAGGAAGGGTGTTTAGACGTCCAGTGATCCCAAATTTAGTTTACGGGGTCAATGTGAGCACAATAAATAGTTTGAGGAAACGAAAAGGACTTTCTCCTAAAGAGTAGTTGAGGGAGTATAATGGAAGCCATTACCCAGTGATGGCATTTCTGAAGCAAAGGATACGAAATAGGGGCGTCAATCCATGTTCTGCCTCCATAATGCCTACTACGGTGTTTTTACGGTACTGTCCACAGGGATGAACCTACACAAGAAGAACACTTCCCTTTTGTAAGTACCAATTAGTGAATGAAGCTAAATATAGCTGACAGACAGAATTGGTATTCTAGTTGTCAAATGCAGTGTTCATCTTGAAACAGGCAGAAATCTCATCGACTGAATATATTATGGCTAACTCTTTATCAAAACAAATTTCACACTTCACCATGAATTCATGAATTCAAACATGACTAACATAAATTATTTTCATATTATAGAAAGGTTATAGTGATTAGTCTTCTTCTTTTTTCTGAACCATGGTTCTGGTGATTAGTAGCTACAACAATGTACGACACAATAATTGCTACAAAATATGTCCTTGTAATTCCAAAGAAGCCCCTCTGGCAGAAAAAATGCAATAAAATAAACTTTAAGAGCAAAGCTTGTATAAGTTGCAGACTTGGTAGAACCTCATTGGTTATAGTTCAGCTGTTCATGTAATTCCGATCAAGAAGTTTCAATAACTGTAATATTATTATATTATACAAGCAATTTTCATGAAATTTATTAAAAGAGGAAAGCTGCATAGTATTTTTTGTCATGCGTCACATAGTATAACATCTTTCCCGAATATTACAATTATAGGCTTACTGGAACAGATGCCGGTTTGCAAACAGTTACAACATCAACTTCATTCTGAAGGATTACAATATTACCACCCAAGACTGGTGGCTCGTGCCTGAAAGAGTAACCACCTTCAGGAATATGCCAACTCAAAATTTTAAATGAGAAATATACACGAGTTATTTATGTTAAAGCAAGAATAAATAGCTTCAGTTGTTAGAAGCCAAAGGAAGCATGCATGCATGTTCAAACTAGCAATCACTATTGTCTTAAAAGCCAATATATCAATAATAAATGTCATTGGCACTAATACAGAGTACAACTATTTCTTAATTTAGTGTAGCTAAATAATATCATAAATGAAAATAAGAAAGATAAATGTGACATTCAGCAATATATGAATATATCCATTAGTTGCTAAACTGTTTTATTTGGATTTTTTGTGGTTCATGTAAGAGGATATCATGTGCAGTAATAACTTATGTTGCACCCAATTTTGGAACACTTGTTTGGAGGTAGAAAAAATAATTCTCAGCTACAATACTGCTCTGTGAATACATGCCGTTTAGGACACCGCCAGGATCTCCAACAAGCAAGTTTGACCACTACTTTGCATACAAGCTGCATACCTGTGTGTTGTTATAGAATAAGTACATGTAAATCCACTTACTAGCATATATCTCCATACAAATCCAATGGTCACAGCAATTGGCTTAGACTAACAAATTATGCACTTGTCATGCTACAAATAGATTATTTTTTTATAGAATTTCTAAGTTAGTGGCCAGAGCTAGAGCAGTTTAACTACATGTATTTCCCAAAAACTTGTATTTACTGAACGTCTGAACGAGGGAGTAATCAGTTTTGCTAAATGGACCACTACGAAGCAATAATCTAAATGAGCCTTAAAAACCTTGACACACCTGTGCAAGAAATGGCTTATCTTTTGTGATGATTTCACAATATAGTCTTCTTCAACCATTTGCTCATCCACCTGAAGCCTCCCGCACTTCACTGCATGAACCTAGCAGTTTCATCATTTATTTCAGATACAGAAGAAAAGATATTACCAAAGTACAAATATAGCTGCTCAGAAATAAATGTACTAGCGTAGATCATAAAAGACACTACGCAGTTCAAGATAGTGGAATGCGGAACGGACAACAAATATATTCAGAAGCAGGGTTCTAGACTTCTGGTAAATGAATTTCTACAGCTAAAACAGAATGATCTTCTGCTTGAGCATACGAGCAAAGAACGGTGTGATGCAGACAGTGTTAAAAGAGAGTAATGCACGCCTACATAGTATTCACGGGGCCGCCCCTTGAATTCATCCGTGAAGAGATCTACAATGGTCTTCCCAGCCCATCTGTTCTTCGCCTGCAAACCAAATTCAGAATTTGGTCCAAACAATATCTCGTAAAGACCACTTGCAACAAACAAATCTTTAATGTTATTATTATCCCATCACTCGAACAAAACAGAAAATTAGGCTAAAACATTCAGAGTTGTAAATGATTGTGTGGCTTCATTATTTTGACTGGAGCAGCAAAATCAACGACTACTGCACATACGCCCTGAGCAATTGAAACTGTAAGAGAGGATTGGTTTACATGGGAGATGAACTCGAAGTAATAGGGCCTCACGTAGCGCCGCCCTGCGAAGAGAAGAGAGCCATTCTTCAATGGTTAGTTCCGGGAGGGTTTAGGGTTAGAAACTCAGAGGGGGTGGGACGGGGCGAGGCTGCGCCGCAGCGGTTACCGTTGCGGAAGATGTAGTCCTGCGCCTCGGGCGGGTTGGCCGGCGTCTGCCACACGATCCCGGCTCCCGCGAGCGCCCCCGCCATCTCAAGCGGCGACGGCTGAGCCCCGGTGGCGCACTCCTCGGTCTCAGCAGCTCACCGCCGGAAACCTAGAAGAGAACGGCGGCGGCGCACGGCGCGGAGGTGGATTTGGGGAGAGCTGGTGCTGCTGTAGCCGTGTAGCGGTGCGGGTGGGGTTACGACCGTTGGATCGATGTGTGATCGATTAGGTAGCGGCGGATTAAACATGTCTCGTAAATGGTAATGTCTGTTTAAAACTCTTTAAAAACATACATAAAACTACACTTTTACTAAAAATCAGCCGTCTGTTTTCAATTTGGCTTCAGGTCGTTTTTTCAGTCGTTCGATTTTGTTCAGAGATCCGTGCTGGTCTGGGTGATCTTTTCGGTCCGCCTTTGTCTAAGTGGGTTTGGCGCCCGATTCGCTCTGGTCTCTTCTCCTCCTCGTCCACGCAGGAGGCGACGACCTCGTGGCGACGGCGGCCTCCCTTTCTTTTTATCCTTATGGCATATCTTCCCCCTTTACTCTCCATTTGCTGCCTCTCTGCTCCAGCAGGCGCATCCCTACCATGGCGCCTTCTCTCTGTATCCATCCCCTCCCATGGTGCCCTCCCTCCTTTCCAAGGCACGCCTCCCTCTTCCTCCCTTCTTCCTATGGTGCCTCATTCCTCTGTATTGTGGTGTCTGTCCCTTTCTCTTCATGAACCCTAGAACACAAGCAGGTCACATCCTAATTCTCTCTATTTTTTTAGGTTAATCTGGGTTTAGTGTTTGTAAATCTGCAGCAGTCAAATCCTAATCCCTTTCTCGCTGTTTCAGGTTCATAGGAGTTCAGTTTTGCAAGTTGCAGCAGTCAATTAAAAAGAAGGTAACTCCAATGCTATGTGACATGACATTTTGGGATGATTTTGTTGTATCTAGATGGAACTGAAATGCTACCGTGTGCTCAATTTTTGTGTTGTGAAAGTCATGCTATCTTGTAAAAATAGTATACTACATATTTGTAGGTACTAGATGCTTGATTGATTCATGGTGTCCATGAAATGTTGTAGTCTTGTGTTACATTCTGCACATATGAAAAATCGACAGCTATTTGGTACAAGCACCATTCCTGAATCACATAGTCGGAGGTCTTCCATCTTATTTTACTGTCTCTCTATATCTTTCCCAAGCTTTTTTTGTCACGCAAGTCCCTGTTTCTCAGTCATTAAGCTTGTACAACGAGTATGTATGTCAGTCTTGTTGCTTAACAACTTTTTAAAGAAACTCAGAAGGTTTAATTGTAGCTTCATGTAGCTTAAGTTGGAGTTTAATGCGTCCCATCTTTTTTTGGTCTCTAGCATTTTGTTAAACATCCACATTCCCCTCAACCAATTCATACAAACATTTATTTTCTGTGAATGCATTGATACTTATGCAAAAGTGGCAATCCCACTGATTTTTTTTCCAGTAATTAGTGTCAACCAGATTGCTTGAGGTGGTCAAGTTTCTTTCAGTTCCTAGTTAGTTGAGCTCTGGCCCATTCTCATATGCCAATCTTTTGTAGTAGGAAGATCGCCAGTGTTGCACGAGCACGGAATTACATATGTCATTATGCACTAGAGGCGATGTGATGGAATTATGGATCGTCGGTGTAGGAATATCAACAAGCATGCTGCTAGAGGCGAGGTGTACATGGTCACGGCCTAGTGGGTTTTGTTCATTTTCTTCACCTTACTATCTTTTGCCCATTCTCCCTCGGTCTCTTGTTCTGGTCTCTTATGTCGTTATCAATCATTTTTTCTCTTTGCTTATTCTTAGATGAACAGTTGGCTTCTTACAAATTACTTTGTAGTGTCCTACTTAAGTGTCTACCTTTTAAATTTCAGGCTCAAAACTTAAAAGTGGCTATCCTGTTTGGTAACTATTTTCGTTGTTCACTCTTTTTCCTTTAGTTTTCAGTATATAATCAGGAGTGTCCTACTTAAGTGGCTCAAGAAAGGCCCGGTTGTTACCGAATCCACATTCCCATCCTTCTTCAGTCTCACACCCTTTATTTTCTTTAGTCTATACTTTGTTTGTCATTCTATAAGCTTGCTATTTTATTTCTATAATTTATCCATTCTCTTGTCATTCTTCATTGATCTGCCTTATTATTCTCCGTCTTGTCATCTATAAAGGCTGGTGAAGTCTTCACTCAATTTTACTTGCCATTCATCATTTCTCCGTATCCAGACTCCTTTTTTAGTCTTCTGTGCTGGTTGTCTTCAGCCCCATATCGAGGCGGCGAGGGGAATAGGAATCGTATTCAGTAATTCATTGGTCAACCAGTTCCTCGATTCTTTTGTTCATTTCTCAGTCTTGTCATTCACTCGTCGGTTCATCATTTTTTTTCCTTCAATATTCATTTCTGTTATTTTCTTCACCAATCTTTTTCCAGTTTTCAGTGTTCATGTTTTGTTAGTTACCATTCATAATTTGCGGTTTCATCATTCGGTATTTTGTCTATCAGTCTCCAGAATTTAGTTGTATATCAGTATTCACTATTGTTCATTATTCAGTCTCCTATTGTATCTTAGAGTTGTGGTTTGTAGTTCAGTTTTCAGTTATTACGGTCATGTATCGTTTAGTTTATCAATTAAGTCTTGTTTTAGTGTTCTTCTCAGTCTTTTCCTTAGTCCACTCTTTTCATTTAATGTGCCATTTTTGTTGGTTGTCATTTTGCATTAATAGATAGTCAGTGAGCTTTAATTTCCAGTTAGTTTCAATGTAGATTTCATTTCTTTAGTTTGGTCAGTAGTTTTAGTGTGATGCGTCTTTGTTCATCAGGTTTGTCTATAGTTTCAGTCATTGAGTGCCCTTCCTCATTCCTAAGTCTTCAGCATATAAGACTTTCAGTATTTTTGTGGCTTGCCATTGTTCTTTTTCAGATTCTGAAGCATTTACTATTTTATCGGCATTCATTAGTTCTTAAGTTATTCAGTTTTTCATTCTTCCTTTCTGACTTATGTTCTCATTTTATCAGTCTTGTTGCTCATTCTCATTTCCTTTGTCCATTCTCTGTTTCACTCTATTTTCTTATGTCTTCAGTTAATGTTCTATCAGTCCTTAGTCTTTACTAACTCTGTCATTGGGCTAGTTATTTTCTCGAGTTAGTTTTTCTTTGAGCGTTGTGCCTTTCTCAAGTCATGGATCTCACATTCATTCTCTCTGTCAGACTTTATCTTTTTTCAATATCTTAGTCATATTTCTCATTCTCATTCATAGCTTTTACAATCGCGACAGTTCATTAGTTTTCCTACCAGTTCCGTCGTTCAGTCTTAAGTGTCTTTCCACTGTCTTCGTTCTCGTTGTCAGTCTCTCAGTTTTTTATTTAGTCTTCTTCTTCTTCTTCAGTTTTGCACTATGTTTCATCATTTCTTTAGTCTCTCAGGTCAGGCAAGAAAATGCTTATAAAGCTTGTCTTCAGCAAGTATTTGTCTACTTCTATTTCTTTGTTCCTTCCTCTCTTGTGTATCTTGTTTTACTCTTCAGCCATGTTCTTTTGTCTGGTCACCGCAGCAATTTTTTTATGATGGTTATGAATATTGTGGCAAAAAGGATCAGCGGCATGTTCCTTTTTCCTTTTGCGTCCTGACCTGTAGCGAATCACAAAGTGAATTACATGTGCATTGAACATCGCTGGAACTTGAAGTCTACTTGTGGCAGCGATGTATACGTATTGAGTTTGCTATCATTTTCAGTAATCTATTTTCAGTTTTTTCAGTGATAGGTGTCATTTTCTTCAGTTCCAGAATGACCTTCAGAGTTTAGTGTTTCTTAAAGCATCATGTTAGGGACAGGCTGAGTGCAAACAATCACTTAAAGGTCCAAGAGTTAGAATTCAACCTGAAACTGGAATGAAAACAGACGTTTTTAAGCCTAAGAGTGGACTGAAATTGCAATAAGTACATGTGTCAAAAACTGACTGGACAGAAAAACGACCTGAACCAATTGGAAAAACATACGTTTGATAAATAGTCACTCCCTAAAACTATTCTTCTTGTCAAACTAATGTTTGAGCGTCATAACCCACGTCATCAAAAACATCACAAAACAAATTTATAGTTAAAGAAGCTTTAGAAAAGCTACATTTTAGAAAATCAACTTGCAAATAGGCGTTATATTTGAGTAGGTACACTGAAAATGTTTTAAGAGTTCGTTACCTTTAACAGATTCAATTGATAGTTAGCCTTGGAAACCTGGAGAATTTTTGCAAAACATTACTATTATTCAAAATGGGCAGTTTTAGTACCATTCGATGCCATTTAAGAAGATCGGCAATGGCCAAGTTCATGTCTATCGCTACTATACATTGGTGTTTAAAGATCCTTGGCACAAAGGTTGTGATAATTGTTTGAGGATGCATAAGATCTGCTATGAGATGCAAGAAGCACAACTTAGATCTAGCCATTGCGATCCCGACTTTGAACCGAAAATCTTCAAGCCTAGGGTCTCTAAGACCTGAAGCGGTATACTTTCTCTTTCAAATCCAGAAGTGATTCTCACATCAACATTGCTACTACTCACATTACATGCATCGCTATTGGACACGGGTACATTGGTACTCATCAAAAAGTGATGGTTTTGTTCTCTTGTTCTCTTATCACATGTGAATGCACATGAGGAGAATATGACCCTGGCCATCTATAGTTTTAAGATGCTCCACACCACGAGTAGAAAGTGAAAAATAAAACAAAGCATCTCGGGTTGATACCCCTTTGATCCTGGTGGATGAATGAAGCATCAAAGTCTAACTTGATAGCTTTAAAGAAGCACTTCCAGGAAAGCAACCCAGATGTCAAGCAAAGGGTCCTTTTCTTTGCCAGAGAAATTTCCAATCTGTTCATGAACACTAGAGGTAATAAAAATTACAACCAGGTCCATGGACCACTGAGGGACAACTACAAGCACTGGAGCAAGTCGAAGACGTGTTGCTGTCATCGCCCCTCCCTCACGGGAGTGTAAAGCTTGTTGTAGTAGACGGTCGGGAAGTCGTTGTGCTAA